ATTTTTAGTGAATAATAAAACAAGAAAATAAAATATATATGTATCATCCATCTATTCATAGGCATCTATATAACATTAACAGATTTGTGGCAAAAGATTTTTAAAAGAATGTGAAGAGCTGTCACTGCACAGGAACAGATTTTATTTAAAAATTCCATTGTTAAAGATCAGCATGACAACATATGTCCATGATTTCAATAGCAGCACAATTATAAGGGAGACAATGCACTGCTCCTGGTTGGATTTTATTCCTGGTACTGCAAATCTGACCAACAATCAATGGGTGAGGTGTTCACAAGGGTCATCCTACTGCTGTTATTCTGCTAAATGGATACAGTATCAAACTGTTCTCTAAATTCATAGCTTGACCCACAGATTAGTCCAGTTCTGAGATTTCATCAGAGTAGTTTCTTTGTATATTGAATGCTGGTTGACATAGAAACTCACAGCTGGTCAGTCAAAGGACAAATGACTATCAGAGAAGCACTCATTCACAGATGGGACATCTATATCACACTCTTCACCCTGAAAGCTTGGGAATTGTTGAAAAAAGGGTGAAGAAAGATAGTAAGAACCAGAGTTTGGAGAGGACTGGGCAGACATCATGACTTTTGGACACAGCAGAACCTCTTCACTCTTGAGTTCACAGCAGCTGTGATTACCTACACAAGATCTGTACAATATCAAGCCAGTTAACATACTGGCATGGAGAGAGGAGTTGCTGAATCACCTCCTACCCTTAGCTGGGGAGCTGTGGACTGTTGTTGGTTTCTGAGGAAAATAGAGTCAGCTTTTTTAACAGATCATGCCCCTGGTAGGTCAACCATACTCCAGTTGAAGCTCACATACCTAGGAGTATGGGACAGCAAAAATTGGTTCCAGTGGGTTCTTTTTTAAAGAAGACATAAAGTTGGGGGATTTAGGGAAGTGCAGTGGATCTGAAGGAGGCATGACTATGGTAACATACAGTCTAAAGTATTCTCAACAAGCTATAAAATAAAAAAAATACTGCATTGCAATGCCATGCAAAAGGCCTCAGGTGATATATAGTGAAACTCAATAGACACTTACTGAATATAACTAGATTTTCATACAATGTGGAATTCTAGCAGAAAATATTCAGCTATTAAAAGTGTGGCCAACAAAGAAGATAATCAGAATATAGTGGTTAACTGTAACCCATGCCTCCATTTGTCTTAGTAGATTATCAAGTCATCCTCCTACATTTCTCCCTACTTTGACTCTGTACCAATGTAGTGCTGAAACCGTGTTCTAAATCTGTGGGAACAAAGCATGCACCTTGCTGAGGATATCAGAGGAGGGCAGTGTAAGAAACTGAGGCTTCCCCTGAGCTTGTCTGGAGAATAGGAAGAGGTAAGAATCAGGAAATAGCAAGAGGAGTGAAAAGTGAAATGACACTTCTTGTCCTTTTCACTGTGCAATCAGTCAAGGGTGTATCTGTAGTAAGGACACAGTTGTATTTGAACAAGTGTCTAAAGAACATGTAACCACCAACTTAATAAAATCATATGCTAATATGGTGTTCTCACAAAAGTTCCCTTCTTGCCAGATAGATGGTCGTAAGATATAATCACTGGGATTTTCCATTCAAAGCTCTGACAGTACTGACATTTGAATCGTAGTTCACTACAAATGTTGTTATTCTGTACAATGTAAGATTTTTCAAGCCTGGTCTACAAGAGCTAGTTCCAGGACAGGCTCCAAAGCCACAAAGAAACCCTGTCTCAAAAAACAAAAAACAACAACAAAAGAATATCCATACCAGATGTCAACAGATCTCTTTTATGACCTTTGCAGTCAATCGAACCTCCAAGTCTCAGAGTAGACAATGCTAAGTGGAGCCTGCTGAGCACACCTGCTTCCTAATGTCAGTGCTACATGTCAGTCCAATACTTCCTACAAAGGGAATTGTGTGGGAGCCCTTCTTTGTTAAGATTTTTCTCCTCAGTGTAATAGTCTTGAAATTCATCAAGTTCTCACATGTTAAGCTTGATATTTGTTTTGAGGAAATGTCTAGGATTTATCAACAATAATCCATTTAAACATCCCCTTTTCCATTATCTTTGACTCTTTCAAATTGTGATTTTTGTTCTTGGACAGGTGACTTTACCACTGCGGTCCTCTTTATCTGATTCTACTAATGGATTTATCTACTGAGAATGAGCCACTTTTATCTCATGTACACTTTATTGTATAATATTATATTGTATAATCAACATTCTATTAGTCTTCCTTAAACAATTGTAGATGTTTTCAGCAGATAAGTCAACTTATTTGTAGATAAACCTTACTTTAAGTTGTTTAATTGCTTTGATAGATGATGTATTTTATGACTAATAAATAAAGACACTGTGATATATCACTTGACCATTAAAAAAAAGGCCTCAGGTGGATGTATACAAGGAAGGAGAATACCACAGAGGTGTTTTGCATAGTTTGGCAGAGTATGTGTTAAAGGGAATGAGAAGAACTTGTGAGAAACTTTCAAAGAATTATGAAAATGTGTTTAAAATAATGTTGTTAAAGTAGGCTGGTCTCATTGTGAGGTAATTACAGGAATCCAACATTATCTAGAGAAGCAGAATTGGTATGATATAAATTTGGATTACAGAACTTCTCTGATATCCTCCCTGAGCTGATGGTTCTCTGATAGCAAGAAATAACTAATAGGGAAGGTTTGGGCAGGCCAGATGCTATATTAGTCATGGGTCTCTAGAGTAACAGATCTTATAGGATGAATAGTTCTCAATATAGAAAGGGGATTTATTAGAATGACTAATTGGCTGCAGTTCAACTAATCCAGCAATAACTGGCTGTGAACAGAAAGTCCAAGAATCTAACAGTTGCTCAGTCCATAAGGCATGATGTCTCAGCTGGTCTTCAGTATACACCCAGAAAAATTACATTCAACTGCCAGTGAATGTACTTGCCAGCAAGGTGAGAGCAAGCAGGCAAATAGCAAAAGCTTCCTTTTTCTGTGTCCTTATATAGGCTTCCAGAAAAAGGTGTAGTCTGTAGTAATGAGGAGGCGAGTAGGCCTGCTTTTCATCCTGCCCGGCTCCCGCATGGTTAACTTAGCCCGGGAAATAACAACACACAAACTGTATTCTTTTAAACACTGCCTGGCCCATTATATCTAGCCTCTTCTGGCTAACTCTCATATCTTGCTTTAACCCATATCTAATAATCTGTGTAGCACCAAGAGGTGGTGGCTTACCGGGAAGATTCTAGTGTATGTCCATCTTAGGCTGGAGCTTCATCACATCTGACCCAGAGAGGAGAGGCATGGCGATTGCTTCACTTCCTCCCAGCATTCTATTCTGTCTACTCCACCCACATAATTTTCTGACCTATCAGACCAAGCAGTTTTCTTTATTGATTAACCAATGAAACAACAGGTTGACAAATGACCATCCCACATCAGTAGTCCACATTAGATCTGGTTTAAAAATGTGTCTTTTCCCAGCTCCAAAAGCTCTGGATTAGAAGTAGATCTTGCTAAGCAGAGGTTTTTCATTCCTTAATTTCATATGTAGTTAAGCTGACAACCAAGACTAGCCATCACAGATGCCAAGAACAACAGGCATGACAGAACAGGGCTTACAATTTGATTGGTAAAAGGCAAGGAGCAGCAGATTAGCATCTAACTGTTAGATTCTCACATGTTTAGCAACATATTCAAATATTTAAAATTATCACACAAATAAAATGTGTTCACAGTGAAGCATCTTGTCCAGTCACACTGGAGAAAGCACAGACAAAAGGATAATGGTAGAATACTTATATGAAGCACTAGGCAGAGAGCCAAGGGAAAGCTGCACTTTGAGACTCTGATGGCCATTATTTTCTTCCAATGATTTTACAGAGAAGCTAAAGGGGAGAGAACAGATGACCCAGCAGCTAAGACCCTAAGACCATGTCATACTATGCACTCTCTGAGCAAGAGTCATTGTGCTGTTGTCTTTTGTTTTGTTTTATTTTTGAGTCAGGGTTTTGTTGGAGACCATGCTTTGAGAAATGTGCCTCTTACCAGGGTAGGGGCATGGGGATTAGAAGAATAAGTAAAGAGAACAAAGACCCAAGTGAAAATAACAAACAGAAGCATAGGAGAGTATCAGGAGGGAGTTCCAGTGAATACTGAAATTTGCTGAATTTAATTTTCCATACACTTTTATACCTTCATATAAAAGGGGAAGAAGGCAAAAGATTGCTGTAATATGATACAAAGGACAATTAGAACAATTACCTGGTTTAGTACTTGAGACATCAAGTCATTAATTCCTGAGAAAAGCGTTCTGTTGTTTAGGCAGTGAACCTATCCTAGACCAAGTATCCTGAACACAGCCACTCCCAAGGTCAAACTCCTTAATTTAAAAAGAAGGAGCAGAAGTATTCTCAAATTCTCTGACCTTTGGTCAAGGTGGAGTGGATCTACCTGTATGAGCCATCTTAATGTCCAAAATATCAAGTAACCACACTCTACCTCAGGGTATGTAGCCATAGTTGTCAACAACTTTGAACAAGCTAAAACTCTCAGTTAAGGTAGAAATAGGCTCACAATTTTGGGCCTCCACAGGATTTAACTATACAATACAGGTGGATTTTGATTTCATTATGTAACCCAGACTGGATTTCAAACTCTCTGAATCCTTTTGCCTTTATCTCCTGAGTGTTAGAATGGCAAGTATGTCCCACCATCTCTACCTACTCACATGGACTTCTTCCTGCCTGTTGTCAGTAGTGAAATATGGATTTGCTTTCTCATTGTTTTAGCATGCATGCTTGCTTTAGAGCATTAAAATTATCCAGAGAAAGAAAGCATAAGGCCTTGACACATTTCTTTAATTATTTTGTGTCTGTAACATAGTTATAATTATGAAGCTATGAGTAGAGGCTCAGAGTTAATGTGATAATTAAAAAGAGACAGACTGAATATCATACTGTTTTTCACACATATCTTTTTTCTTTCCATGCCATAGGAGCCTTCATTTGCAAGATGGTGCCCTTTGTCCAGTGCACTGCCATTGTGACAGAAATCCTCACGATGACCTGCATTGCCATGGAAAGACACCAGGGGCTTGTCCATCCTTTTAAGATGAAGCGGCAGTACACCAATCAAAGGGCGTTCACAATGCTGGGTGTGTTTATCACTTTGCGTCACTGTGACAAAGCATCTGAGCTGAAGAGCTCAAACAAACACCTATCTTTGCTCACAGGTTCAGTCCATGGTCTCTAGGCTATGTTGTTTCTGTGCCCTTGTGTGCTGAGTCAGAACACATGATGGAGAACTTGTGCCAGAGTTGGGTGGCTTACCTCATGCCACCCAACACAGACAGGAGGCTGGGGGACAGAGAACAATAGTCTAGGTGTAAAGGTTTAGATAAAGCTGCACTACCATGACAGTGAAAGAGAGAAACTTTACTAATAGTCATGAGACAGGAAGAGGCAGATACTTTTGTTATAGGAATGTCCACAGTATAGGACTGTACTATTCTAGAAAGTAATCCTGAAATCTTTGCGATACCAAATTTATTTTTAAGCCGTTGGAAATGAGCAGACAAATCAATAGGGAAAAGAAGTTGTCAATTACTATAAAACTTATATCATATCTTCCTAAAAAGAGCTAAATATCTCTTTCCAATAAAAAAATATAGGTATGGAAAGAGCTTAACGTAAGGAGTACATGGAGAATTAAGGATATTAAAAAGGAGGAGAAATCGTGGTGAATCTCAATGCCATACCATTGTAACAGGCATGACCTCAAGGATGAAAGCTTTAAGATGCTGAAGGAGGACACTGAAGTGGAAAAGTCCCCCTCACTCTGCTCATTAATTGACAGAGTTAGTATTGTGAATGTGGCTTTTGTTAGCAAAAGCAGTCTACAAATTTGATGCAATTTCCATCAAAATCCCAATGACATTTTTCAGAGAGCTAAAAAAAAGCAATGTCAAAATTCACATTTGTGAAAGACACTGAATAGTGAATTTCAACACTGAGCAAAAAAGAGCAATGTTATAGGTAACTCAATATCTGACCTCAAAATTATATTACAGAGGCACAGAAAAACAGCATAGTGCATGCAGAAAAAACAAGCATGTAGTTGACATGGAACAGACGACTCATATGTAACTCACACAGCTACAGTCAATTAAATTTTAATTGTATTTATTTGTTTCATTACACTTCATTTATTTGTGTGTGTATATATATGCATGTGTATGCTTGTGTGTGCATGCTACAACAAATGTGTGGAGATCAGAGAATGCTTGCAATTCTCTCCTTCCACTGTGTGGGTTTTGGGGCTCAAACTCAGGTTATCAGGCTAGACAGTAAGCACCTTTACTTGCTGAACCAACTCACTGACCCCAGTCACCTGTTAAAAATATGTATTAGAGGCAATACAGCTTCTTTAACAAATGGTCTTAGGAAAAGTGATTTCTCCATGTAACAAGAGTGAGACTAGATATATATATCTCACATTGCTCAAAAATCAATTAAAATGGATTAAGAAGTAAGTGTAAATGCTAGAACTTAAAAACTGCTGGAGGAAAACACCATAAATCATTTTGACATAATGTAGAATATTCCCAAGAACTGATAGATGTGGTTGCATAAAATAACAAATATTTGCCAAGTACACATCAGGTGGGATTAATAACTAGAACATATTAAGAACTGTGAAATTTAAACACTAAAAAAGTAATCCAATCAATTAATGGGCTAAAGAACTCAATAAACAGTTCCCAAAAGAAGCAACACTAATGGCTAATAAACACTTGGGAAGGCATTCACTATCCTTAGCCATGAAGAGAATGCAAATTTAAATTGCTTGAGACTCCAATGCACCCCACTCAGAATGGCCACCTTAAAGAAAAATGGCCTCCTTAAAGAAAAATGCTGATGAGGATGTGAGTAATGGAACACATCACTGTTGTGACTGCTGTGGGCATGGAACTGTAGTCACTAGGGAAATCAGTCCAGAACTTTCTCAAGAGACCTACCATGATGTAGAGCTACTGTTTGTACCAGCTATGATACTTGGCTATAGTATATGTACCTGAAGGGCTCCAAGTCAACATCCCCAAGTATGTATCATAATTATTGCTTTTATTCACAATAAATAGGAAATAGGAATAGTCCAGAAACTCATCAACAAATATAAAGATATGAGGTATATTTACAAGTCACAAAAAATTAAGTCATGGCATTTGCTTGAAAATGAATGTAAGATTTAATCATTATATTAATTTTCTTCTCCTTTCATGGCCTCCTTTCCAAGCTCTCCCTCTCTCTTTCTGTGTGTTTCTGTCTCTCTGTCTTTACATACAGACAATTTTCTAGTTTCTAGAGTCTACATATGAGATAAAACATGAGAAACACATCACTGCTGTGGGATGCAAAGCTGTGACCAGCAGGGAAGTCAGTCTAGAACTTTCTCAGGAAAATAGAGTTAACATATGCCCCGACTTGCCACTCAGCTGTATTCATATATTTGAAGGTCTTCAAGTCAATATGGAAGCAGAAGGGAGGATTATTGGAGATGCGAAGGAACAAGTTGGAATGGGCTAGAATACAGGGGAGAGCAGTTGGGTGTTAGATCTATAATGAAAACTAGGCCCAAATAATGTAAGGGCCATAATGAAACCATGCTAACTTTAAAGTTAATATAAAACTAAATATTTGGAGGTTTTAAACAGATAGTTCATCAGATACGGGAACATACTACTCTTTGAGAGGACTTGACTTTCATTCCATCTAAGTCAGATAATTAACAACTGCCTTTAACTCCAGCACCAATGAATCTGATACCCTCTTCTGGCCTCCATAGGTGCCTGCACAAATGTGACCTCCACTCTCAGAGGCAGACACACACACA